AATGGCGTTAGCACGGCTATTGGGAGATAAGATGACGAATAGGGCTGCAATGACACACACCAGTCGTTTGAAGTTACAGAGTGTTACACTACAGACAAAGCGGGATTTTCCCGTCACAAATAATGACACGAAGAGGCGTAGAATTGTTATAATGTTTCGATCACTATTAGTTGAGAAAAGAGCGGTGGAAAAGTTTACATTTTCGATGCCTTTTTGCATGACACCTGTCCAGAAATAGAGCGCGCACTGCCACTCAAACACAGAAAAACAGAAGTTTAAATTTTTAGAGGTTAAAAAGTTATCCTTTTTGCTGACAGGTGTCATTTTCCATGCAAAAAGGCGTCAGAAATGTAACCCTTTTCACCATCTTTTTCCCGACTAAATGGTGATCGAAACATTTTAACAATCCTACACCTCTTCCAGTCATTATTTGTGACGGGAAAATCCCGCGTTGCCTGCAGTGTTACAGGGTGTTTTCGTCGCTGGGATGTGATTAAAACTGTCTCAAAGTCGTGACAGGATGTCTATTTGATGCCGAAGACCCCTTTTAACCACACCGCATAGTTATATCGATCCCAAGGGCTCGCTCAAGCTAGAGAAACTCTGTAAGGTGCCTGTTTTTCGTCTTCTAGGACTCATAGTTAGTGTTGCCGCGGTTCGTGAAACCAGCCCGAACCACCTCCTTGGAGTACTGTCATTCACCCCCAGAATTGGCACCACCCCCAGAATTGGCATTTCGCTTTTTTGGCCGTTCCTCCATATTAACTCATAAGATAAATCCATGACGATGTTGATTAGGTGCCTCTCAATATAGTCCTAAAGACGTAACATGTAGAATCATCCCGATGTTAAGTTAAGAGCTGTAGAAGGTGCGTGTTTGGCCACTTTTGAAGTTTTTTTTTGGGCTTTGGTGATCGGTTGCTCTTGTACCAGCTTCATAACGATGCGAGAAAAGTTCACAAACACTAATAGTACCTCCTTTCTCTACTTTGAGATAGTTCTCAAAACGGTGAGGTTGCTCAAAACACTCAGCAGCGCTGAAATTTGACGGGGTGTCTCTGTGTACATTTCTGTAATCTAATCACTCCTGAATGTTTATAAATAACTGCTGTTGCGACGACAACCGTGAGCAGATTTGCTTTCGCGGTGCGGATATAGCCGGCTTTCTGCCTAATGCGGGGTTACGACCGTTATCAGCCGTGCTGAGAACTGCCAGGGTGGTCGGCTCCAGCACCTCTAAAATACTGATGCCTTTGCCATAGGGTATCCTTGCACTTTGAGGGTACATGGGTTTCTTGTCTGTTAGAACTCACACCGCAGACCTTCCAAACCGAGTTTTGAGTTAGTAGCTTCTCTAAAAAATATTCTAGGTCTCGCACAAATTTGGCTGCCAATTCTGGGGGTGAATGACAGTACCCTTTCTTGCCACAATACCGACTAACAATGTGTTAATCTTCGCGGTTTTTAGCCTCTACATGGCGTCGTAGTGTGTTATCCGGACTGACAAGAATTGCAAGTACAAGTTTTGTGGGCTTGGTTTCGTCTAGTTCGCCAAATGCGGCAACACTAAGGTAGAGAGCGTGGGAATCCAGTATCTTTATGTAAGCAGCCGCGCACCCGACCTCGTCGTCGTTATAGGCAGCGACGACGGACGCTCAGGTACAAAACCTAGAAAGGGTCCCTATGGCCATGTAGATTGATTGCTAGGTTTCCGTTCGGCAGTATCTATCATGGAAAAAAAGTTATTAAGTTATTTTTCTTTATTTTCGTAAAGTGTTTAAGCAGCACTTTCCGGTCGAATGGCATGAAAATCGATTTTTTATTCTCCATATTTGTCGCATCACATGATACCAGATGATGCTCGGCAAGCCGGCCCGATGCACAGCCACTCCTGATATAGACATATGCACAGCCACATTGCTCCTATCTCGTCTCAACCTTCCATTACTCTATGGGGGTGGACACGCCCGCTGCGCGGGCTTTGCCCACCCCCATCAGAGAGCCTAGTGCAACGGGTTTTGCCGTGCACTGGCACACGGCGCTATGCCATCCAGGTTAGAATGCAAATGTACTTAGGCGTCACCCCAGGCATTCTCGCCTGGTCTGAATAAAAATGGTGTTTCTCTCCTCTTTCGTCCCATAGTCGCGTTCCCTACTCTCCCTCTTTCCTTTCTCAATCCTCCTCATCGTCCATCTCTAACACGGCCCCAGTGGCCCCTTGAATCTACCTTTTATTTATCGACAAACCTAGTGAAACCATACCTTGGATGTTCTTTAAGTCAAGGGTCCTCGACAGCGGGGAATGCCAATGTCCCACCTTCTACGATGTCACTCTTCTCGAGCCTGTGGTACAGGGAGGTGACGTGAAGCAGAATCATGGGCAATATCATGTACCAGTGAGTCGTTGCTTTACTGTCGTTGTTATCAAATGTTCATTCTATGAGATAGTGACACCTCAGCCCATCTGAGTGACGATGATGTTAGCCCGAGAGACACTATCAACCATCTAGTCATCGAGCGCGCTCGGAACTGCATACTAGTTCCCCTGCAGCCACACGAAAGGAGTACTGACCAGCCAAAGCTATCAATTCGAGGGTACTTGACTGGCTGCTGCAGATACAGGTCTTATATACTGTACGAGGATCAGAGCCAATATCTACTTGCATCGGAGAAATAGAGGATTAGCATATGGCATAGAACAAGGGCATTGAACAGCATGGAATAATTGAGTCACATAGAGTGACCACAGCGATGTCGTCTGGGTATCTGGACCCTGTGGCATCTGGCTCGGGCTGTACCGAGACTCGGAGAACGTGGTGGTGCCAGAAACAACAGCGGCGTGGCGTGCGAGGGCCAGTGATGCGACATCAACGAAAGAGGTGGTGGGGAAGCAATCAACAGACTCGAGATGCGAGGTGCGCCTGGTCAGCGCGTCAGATTCGACGTGTTTGTCGGCGCGAGAGAATAGGCCGTCTGCGAGGGTGATAGATGGGATAAGGTTGTGCTGGCTGCGAGCGAGATGCTCGACAGCGCGAGAGCTGCGGGCGAGACACAGTCGCGTCGGCAGGTGGAGGTTTATATATTCCAAGGATTTGGGTTCAGGCTGGCAGTTTGAGACGGAAACCTATGACGTACCTCGACCAACTTTCCATCCGCACCTATGCTCAATAGTAACCACCAAGGTGTGGAGGTGCTCGCGGGTGCATGACATGAGCCATATTTAATGCTTGAAACGTCCAAGAGAGCGTGAATGACTGACCGACAAATGCAAATGGTGTCTGAAACCCAGCGAGCATGAACTAGGGGGGAATGGGAGGTGGAGCGCTAGTCTTGCACTTAGCCTGTTGCATGGCCACAGTGTCATCGCGCCATTCGCAGCAGCGGTCAACAAAGGCCTAAATATTGTCGTAAGTGAGGCGAGACTGAGTGGTGACCGGTGAAGGCGTGGGCGACGGCGGTGAGTGGTTGACATTCCGGATTGTGGTGGCTAAGTGCCGACACGGTGCCGACACGCAATCGGCAATCGGCAGTCGCCGTCACTGCCACAAAAAGTTGCCAGATCACCTGCAATCTGGCAGTTCGGGATCACTTCAGATGATTCCTCAAAGGGGGCTGTGGGGTTACGGGTTATATTAGTCTGTCCTCTCAGTTCTGTCAGGTGATGCGGCCAATTTGAGAAGTCAGTTAATGCTTCCAAAAGCCTACAAAATAACCTGGGGATCACTTGCATTGTATTGAGAGCATACAACTCCATATATTCATATGTCTTCGCATTTTCCATACCTTTTGAGACATATACATCTACCTGTATCGCCATGTGGCTCCAAACTTCGCCATAATATGTATATGCATGCTAGAATGGACATGATATACATTCAGGGCAATACCACAAGCGAGTGGTGAGCTATTCCAATTATCGCCAGAAGCGTGGGAAACGCTGGTGACCTGACTGAGAGCAGCTACGCCATACGGAGGGGTCCACCTAATTTCGGTCCATTCGGTCAAGGAGGTTTATTACCATATTTGGATGGTCGGCCTCCGAAGCACCTAAGTCCCTCCGCCAAGCGAGCCAGACCGTGTCACGTGACAGATCCTAAATCGCCGGCCCCTTGCCATTTTTGGGTCTCCCGGAGGCTGAGCCCCTCGGGAGCTTCTCTGCTCACCTCCGGCTCGCCAACCCCTCCGTATGACCTATCTGCCTGACTGAGGCGCTGCTGGGTCACGGGAAGTCATGCGGTCACGCGGTCACCGCGAATGCGGGTGAGAACCCATTGCCTTAAAAAGCAGCGGGAATCTGGGTTTCAAAATGTGATGGGAACGCTTACGTAAACACTTACCGCTGACGTGGTTGGGCGCTTCGTCTTTCGTCCTCTCGTCCAGACCTGTCCTCCTCCCACACGAGTCGTCCAGCATACGAGATGACTAACTACTCAGGCATGTACGAGCAATATATGTCCAAAACTCGTAGAGTCGCCTCGCGGCCGGTTGGGCGTCGCGGGAAAACATCTTCTGTCAAGTTCGTTACACGTGGCGACCCCACCGAGCGAAAGGGCAAACGAAGCCGACCTCAAAGGATGGCTGTCGAGAGCACACCTTCATTGCGGCCAGCTGGTAGTGCGAACGATGAAGGTACTTTGGCCCGGGATGATCAACAAGCTCAGTGAAAGGGATCGTTCGCTGGTAAGCTGGGATGTACGCGTATCTTCATTCCATTCACCACTATCGTTATCCAACAGGTGTCAGGCCTCCAGCGCTACAGCGCGGTCAAAGTCCGAGGTGGGCTAGCGGGAATGATGAGGCGGATGCCGGATTGAGGCGTAAGAGCGCGGGAGGAGAGGAGGAGAGGAGAAGAGGAGGAGAGGAAAAGAGGAGGAGAGGAAAAGAGGAGGAGAGGAAAAGAGGAGGAGAGGAAAGAGATAGGAGACGACGATTACTACCTCATATTCTGAGTGCTCGTGACAACTCAGCTCCTCACGCCCAGTAAAAACGCGCTCGAAGGAAACCCGTGAAAACCTGTGTGATTACGCGGTAAGCTATGATTGCATATTAAAATGAGTACATCCAAGCCTTGTTGTCCGCTGAATAAGGATCCAGACCCCGACACTTGTATGCGACAGCGATTTCGAGCGCTGCAATACGGCGAATGCGGAATTATAATGGAGAAGAGCTTATTAGAGCGAGGGCTCACTCAAATTAGCTAGTACAAGGCAGAGAAGGCTAAGACTGGTTAACGCACGCGTTACAAGTTCCTATTTCATCGTGTCTTGCTCTCTCCTTTACTCCATCCTCCGCTTGCATTGCCCAACACTGCAAGCAATTCTTAATAATAGTGGCATTATTACTCGAAAAGTATCTTAAATATTAAGGTGAACGGGTTTCAATAATTAGTTCCTCGTTATTCAAAAGCTTTATTAAAGACAAGGGTCAGTGACAGGCGCCTTCCTTTCCTATCTTTGATTAAAATAAATAAATAATGAGGACCTAATTATTGAAACCCGTTCACCTTAACATTTAAAGTAATTTTCAAGTAATAATGCCACTATTATTGAGAAATGCTTGCAGTGCAACCACCCCCTTCCCTCAGCACCCAGATCTCGGGATTCCATCGGAATGGCCAACGACACCGGTATCAATGCCAATGCAGCTCTGATACCACTCTCCTACCCAGATGGATCGGTCGTGTTGAATCGCACTTCAACGCGGCGAATACAACTTTTGTAATTGATATTAATATCAGTGCGATTCAACACGACCGATCCATCTGGGTAGGAGAGTGGTAATAATGCTGCTGTTATTGAAAAATGCTTGCAGTCCTGTACAGGGTCGCTTCGAAACGCTTACGTAGTCACATGTTCGCGACATCCTCTGCACAGTTTCCCAGCATTCTCAACATTCTTTCAATCGTTGTTTGCTCCACTTCCCTATCTAATCATCGCTCCGTCATCATGCATCACCGCGAATACCCGTGGGAACCCGATTACCCGTGAGAAGATGGACAGAAGTGACACGTCGTCAGCAAGCTCGTCCTCTTCCCGTCACCAACGTTGTAGATAGCCCTCGGTGCCCACTTCTGGGTCGCTCACTTGTGAGCGGCCCTCTTTAGAGAAGAGGTGTTGACTGCGTCGGTTGCAGGGTCAGCCCAGCGTGTACGTACATCACGCTCCTGTAGGGTGGGTTGACCCTCGCATTACCACCACGCCATGATCAGTCGGGACCTGCATGCCCATGTCTCATTGCTCCGTGCCGTCCGCTTCCGCGTCGCTCACCCGGTGGGGCGGCGCTCTGTAGAGAGGAAGCTGTGGCGACGTCGGCTGCAGGGCCAGCTCTGCGCGTCTGCACGTGTATCACGCCTCTTTAGAAGCGGGTTGCCCTTGCACTGCGTGTATCTTTTCTCCTTCTACACTCCATGTTTCTGGATGTACCCTTCCTTTATCCAACAGCTGTCCCATAAAGCCTATTATCCACGGTCGTTGTCGTGTGCCATCTGACAAGGCAAGTCCGATGCATCTTGTCTAGTGGCTCCGTGACTGATATTCGTGTCTTCCTCCCTTGTGTCGTGCCGACCTGCCGGTCTCTGTTGCCGTAAGGCGCTCCACCGCTTCCGGCATCTTTGGTGGTACCCATGTTGTGAGGTTGGTTTTGATGCCTGGGATCAACGTTCAGCTGGTCCAGACACACTGGGACCACAATGAGCGCTGCATGACGGTCGCTTCCCTGAGAGTGAGACTGGTCACTTGATCATCTTCCACTGCCACAGTGAGTGCTCTTGTGCTATCCCCTGTTTGGGGTGTAAGGGATTTGTTGGGCCGTGACGCGTACTCTGAGGCAGTGCTACTCAACATCACGGATGGTATCGAGGAGTTAAGGAAGTTCATCGACCATACGGTCGGTTGAAGAGCATGTTGGAGTGGGTACTCCTGGAGAAGACGACGACGAGAGTACTCGTATAGCTGGGATGAGTGACTACGAACACGCGCGAACACGCTATGTACCAACTACGCTGGCCATGCCGGCCCTAAACTATGCATCGTGCCTTCAGTCCGATCCTCCCTAGTCCAACGTTGTAGAAATTCGAGGTCGCACGGGCTCGCGACGACGCACAGCGCGTTTGTCCCGGGCAAGAAGAGGGTGCCCGAAGGGCAATCGCGTGAATAATTCAAGTAGCTACGACATGAATATATACCTAAATAAAACTCGGAATCTATATGATAAATCGACACGTCATGATCCGAGCGATAACGAACACAGAATTCCAACAGATGCGCACCGAGGCATTCGCGAAACCACAAACATCTTCACATACTCAAGAATTTGTGAGCTCGTGTGCAGCTGCCCGCCTAGACTTGGTAAGGTTGAGTATCGAAGGTATCAAAGGGCATTACAATACTCCCTCATATTTTGGCGCAGGCACACCAGCGAGGAAGACGTTCTTCAAAATATATCCTTTCACGAGGTATAAGAATTTAAGGGTATTTATTGTCAAGTATATACAAAGAACGCAAAGACCGAGCTAGGCAACGGAGAAAGATGGAATGAGCGACCTTGAGCGACGAAAAGATCCGGAAGATGTGACAAGGAGCGATGATGTAGTGAGTAGAGTATCACCGGAAACGAAGGAAATGGTTGCTAGCCGACCAACCGAAACCCTGCATTGTTCTGAACCACGCGGGCTGGCTGAGGTCGTGTTCAAGTTAGGTAGGGCGTCCGAGGCAAAACAAGAAAGATTCCCGTTACCCTTAGGGGTAGCAGGGTTAGAGGGGTGCTCTTATTTCCACTTTTTGGCGGGGAATTGAGAAAATCGATTGTGTCACGTTATCGTTTCCTAACCTTGGCCTACCTCTGCTCTTGTCCGTTACGCATAGGGATCGTGAGTGTCGTAGCGGGTTTCAGCGGCCCTTCCTATGTGTACACTCTCTCATTCCAACCTTCTCCGACTGTGGGACTTTCTTCTCCACTCCTTCCATTTGTTGCACCTGCTGAACGCAGCCTGCGTGCTCCTCACTCAAGTCATCTTCTTTGTCTTTATACGGTTTGAATGTCTATATTGTTCATGTTATCGCAACTTAGGTCATCCTGTCTGTGCTATAATTGAGTTTTTGTGTTTCAAAATTCATCCCTCGACGTTTTCAATGTTGCTACAAATCCCACTACATGGTCCATGTTTGCCAAGCTTAAGAGGCTTCGTAAATGTTTTGGTAAGACTCAGCGTTCCAATTGATATGGCTGTCCGCTTTGAGAGAGTGACTCTATCGATTTTGATTACCTTTGCAGCATGTTACTCTCATGTAGTTTTATAAAGTACGTGATGCTGTTGGTAACACAATGTGGCTGCAATTTAAGTACGACTTGGGGTCGTCTACATGTTCTGGTAACAAAGGGAGGGGTGACGGGCGTTGCCGTGCCCTAAAGCGCGGCAGTATTACCTGGTAGTAACAAGGCAAACAAAATAGCGACGAGTTCGCGCTCACGTTGAGCAACTAAGCCCAAGGAGGAGCCAGACGCTAGGTACGTATCAGCAAAACATTGTGGCTCGAGTTTTGGACTTGAAATATCACTGGTATGTGTCCAGTACTCAATCATACGAGAAGGATCCGTGGTTTTGGGAAGTCGAGTCAATAGCTTTGGAGGGAAAAGGATAAACATTACGGGATGATCAACGGATTAGCACATTCACCAAAACACTGTTTGATCGATTTAACCTCCTATTTTTCGTCATAATGATACATCGGGTTACGAAAGCGTAGATAAGGAAGGGGAGGCGATGGTGAGCAAGCTCAAACCAGGCATCAGGAAGAAAATGAAATCTGGCGGCAACATCAGCCATACCAAATGGTCAATCTTTCCCATAACTTTATTTTATATGAAACTCGGTGCCTGGATCGGATGATTTCTGGATTGGTGTGCAAAGATGATATAAGCTACTCGGCCAATGTAAGACCACTGATACTCATACCTGCGACTACATGCACGTCATAAATCAGGATTTAGTCTGGAAGTCCGTTTCTCGATAACCTATGTATTTCAGCTGTTCGACACTCAGCGGCCACGTAAATTGGACGAGATCCGCCTTGCCCGGCACAGCTTTAACCCACAGCGGGTAACCGCAGGTTTTGAAACTTTGACAACGGTTACAGCTGTACTGAAGTTCCGTTTCAATCCAATCATTCCCTTGGCTAGGGTTCCCGCTTGATGTGAACTTGAGATACTGCATACTTGCATTACATTTAAAGCACTTCCAGAAGTCGATCCCCCATGGGCGCCAGGTGAAGTTGGAGCGGGCCAGCAATCGTGATTTAGTCCCCTTGAAAACCCGCTGGCCCTTTACAACTTCATAATTGTTCCAGACCAGTACTGGCGGAGCATTATCGAGCGACATATAATCCTCGGCGAAGGATTTCACGAGGGCTTCCCATGGTTCCAAACCATGAATGTAAACATTGCGTACGAATGACGTGAGCGGGACGACAATCTGATGATCAAGGGTTGACTGGCCGCCAAAAGAGAGCACGAAATCAAATAGAGATCTGTCGCAGCGATGTTAGTCCGGGATGCAGGTAACAGCCACAATCTGCTCACTGGCTGACCAGGCTGTGAAGCCTCAGAAAACTGGCATGGTTGCGGACGCTTGGGCCACAGCTAAGGAGGACAAGTCCACGTGTAACTTTGAGGCCGCGCGACACAAGTCCATCCATTTGGACGAGGGTATCCACCAATTTGCTCCCACAGGTAGATAGTATCAGCTGCTAACTAAGCTCAGTGTCCCAATGTTAGAAATTGACTACTTACATCGGTAATCGGGGCACTCTTGAGACCAGTACCATTATTCCCTGACACGACCAAGTCTCCTGATTTGGAATCACAGTGTGTATCTATGTAGACAAGGACGTCGGTCTGATATTGTTTTTCGCCGATCCAGGCCAGCTCGTCTTCTTGGATACACACAACCTTGGCCTTCGTGTCCGGTAAGGGATTGATTACCATGTGTAGCTATTTAGCATGATAGATGATCAGTTATGTCATCCCAACACTTAGGCAAGGCCGACCTTATCCTGTGGGATTTCTTCTTCAAGGAAGTATGTGATGATATCCTCACATAAATGTCTGTCTTTCCCCCAGGTCGAAAATGATGCCCACAGTGGACCTCGAGAGCATTTCATAAAGTTGCAGTACTTGGGGTGGGACGGTGTAGTGTACTGGTAGTCTCTCTAAGCGGTGTTTTCATTTGACCTCAGCTGGTTATGCTTACCGGAAAGGGCTTGCACCCGCTTTTCAAACATCGGGGGCACTTGAAGGATGATTCCTCGACCTCTATACTTTTAAGGCATCCTTTCCCGCCTTCATCCCCGCAAAGAACGGTCTTACAGTCAATACACGTCCATAGCTTGCTGCCGGTGTCAATATGACATATATCACACTGATACTGTTATGTTAGCTTCCATTACGATGATCTTCGTTGAGAGGGTGAACATACGCTTTTTTTCGCAGCAGGAGTGGTATCATTACTATGATCCATGGAGATACGTGTTCCCAGGTAGTGCCCAGTGAGAGCTTGAGATCTCTTGAGATATGCACAGGAATCCAGCTCCGAGCTGAGATTGAAAGTAATTTCTCACCGTTCTTACTCCGGCTGTGACCTCTCTACGTCACATGCCTAAAACCCCAGTGAAAACTTGCTACGAGCAGTTCTGAACCATTCAGAGCCATTCAGAGAGTTGTGGCCACTCTTTGGATGTTTCGCTGATCCTCCGCATGACTCTGTACTACTCTAACCTCTGGGGAATTCTCCGAACTCTGAGTGTCGATTCAGAGCGATTCAGAGCAGTCCATAGGGATATGGAGCGCAGGTATCTGAGTAAGCAGGCTCAATCTACTGAATCAATTCCCATATCTAAACATGGCAAAATTTGATCTCTGAAACCCAGTCAAACAATACATGCAAAGCTCGTTTTATATTTGGAAGTTTGCTGATCAATAGTACACGCTAGGTGTATATCTACGGCAGGAAGGAGGAGAACGGCAATGGCGAACGAGATATGCACAATTCTGTCTGTCTGAATCTGTGGATTATATATGATGGAAATATCCATTACTGACAGATATTGGGCGTAGGGCAGCTTCCTTCGGGTAGTAGTTCACGTGTGAAGTAAAGTCAAGTTGAAGCACCTGGGCCAACCGGCTGCCCGTGAGCACGTCGACCATCCGGTAGGACTGCAGATATTGAACGGATATTGGGCGGGATGGTTGTCCAAGAGTAGCTCGACGAGTCTCGGAGGGGTATGGTAGTGGAAGGAAGAGCGGAGGGAAGGAAGGAAGGGTGCACACCTGGACGTAATCGCAGGTACGTTACCGTTCGTAATCGGAGATCAAAACAACGATGTCACCAGAAGGGCCCAAACTTGACATAGCAGAGCCGAGCAATACCAGGCCACAAATTTGTCGACTTGGGGACATGTGGTAGCTCGAAATGCGAGGTGGCATTGCGTATGTAGTTTTCTATATCTATTTCATGCCAAAAACACCAAGAAAGGTTGAGATCTTTACTGTTCTCATTCCGCCTTTCTCGCTTGAACTGGATTCTCGAATGTGCCCTTGCAGCGCACCAACAATCCAATGTTGCATGTTTCGTCGAGAGCTTTCCCCCCTGGCGTCGAGGATGGCGTGGGAGTAGCATTTCCCAGAATTCCAGCACTCCAGCTATCTATACATCTCGACCTATATCATCTATGACTGTATCGCATGGTTTGGTGGAGAAATGAAAACCGCAGACACTAGGTCCAGAACAATCGAGAACTTGGCCTTTCTTTTCATAAAACTGCTCAGGGTAGGTACCTTACTGTGTTCTGTTTGCTACTAAACATAATTGGCTGCATCTGCACTGCGGTGGGCTTGAGAGGCCTGCAAGGAGCCTACGCATCTGCTATCAACTGGCCAAGCCTAGATCTCCATAGATCGTCAGCTGATAAATCGATAATGCCTGGACACTCTTGTCGTAGTCGATCAGTAGATGGTATCAGCAGTCCACATGGGTTTCCAGCATCAGCTAGTACTGCACATGATCTCCTTAGTCAGGATTACAAGCACATTTTACCACTCTCTTAGCAATCAAGGCACACCTGTAGTCAGATTTGGATCCAGGAATAGGGCCATTGCCATTGGTTGAACTGTCTACGGCAGACACAGCATGATATCATAGATATGTACCTGTATTTAAGGAAGGCACATCCTGGAGTATACCCTCCAGTATAATCCACTTGTTATATTGTCATCCACCCCCAGAATTGGCACCCCCCCCCCCCCCACGTATTAGCAGTTCGCTTTTTTGATCGTTCCTCTGTATTAACTTACAAACTAAATTCATGACAATGTCGAACAGATGTCTTTCAATATAGTTCTATGCGTGCCATACGTAGAAACTTCCCGACGATGAGCTACGAGTCGTAGAAGGCGTCCATTAGGCCACTTTTGAAACCCTTTAAGCTTTGGCGATCGGTTGCTCTTGTACTGGCTGAATAATGATGCGAAGAAAGTTCACAAGCACTGAACGTTCATCTATCCTTCAGTTTGAGATAGTTCCCAGCATGGTGAGGGTGCTCAAGACACTTAGCAGCACCAAAGTATGACGGAGTGTCTCTGTGCACGTTTCTGTAATCTAATCTCTCCTTGACATTTATCAATAACCGTTAGTGTTGCCGCGGTTCGTGAAACCAGCCTAAACCGCCTCCTTGAAGTACACTTTCTTGCCACAATACCGAATAACAATGTGTTAATCTTCGCAGTTTTTAGCATCTACATGGCGACGTGGTGTGTTATCCGGACTGATAATGAGTGCAACTACAGGTTTTGTGGGCTTGGTTTCGGCCAGTTCGCCAAATGCAGCAACACTATGGGTAGGAGAGTGCTTGTGCATGCAGTCGGAAGCTATCAAGATATCACAGACTGATTGAATGCCAAGCATTCCGCTCACGTTTCCTCACAATCGCCGCTCGCGCTCTCTCGGGCCTGGCGCTCGATAATAAGAAGTGCCGGACCGTTTCGTCTTCGCCTGGGCAGTGTTCGCAAAACGGGTCGTCCCGTTTCCCTATGTGGTGGAGATGTCGGTTGAGGGGCAGGCGCCGTGCCCTCGTTTGGGTGAAGACCGCACACTTTCTCCTAGGGAAGACGCAATTGGTTTCATGTAAGAACTGGACGGAAGGGAGGGGTGGAAGGTCTGGAAATGGCGGCTACGCGCCGATTCCGACAATATCTCCTTCCAGCGAGCATATAGCTCCTTTCTATAATCTTGCTTGAGTGCCGAGATGCTGCGCGGGAGCTTCCTGCGTCGTAAGTACAGCGGGAGGGACGCTTTGGGGCTAGAGTTGCGTCGAGAGCTTGCGGCTGCCCTGGCCTCCTCATCCACAAGCTCATTACCTTGTATACCCTCATGTCCAGCTATCCACCTGATAGAGAATTCTGTTAGCCTATGATGACGACGACGGGTAGAGCGGGCAGGGTTTCTTGTCGGAATAAACAGGTAATGCCCTGGCCTTGTCGGGCTGGGGTGCTCTAATGAGCGGATTACCGCCTGATAGTCTATGAATAACGCAGCGCGATCAGTAACCTCGATCTCCTCATGCATGAGATGCAACCCCATCATCAGGACGACCATTTCGGCTTCGTATACCGTTTGTTCCTCTGTCTTACCCAAATGATATCGTAGCGGTTCCAGGCTTGTGAGCAAACAGCCGCGTACGTGGATGAATATACCATATTTTGCCATGTGCATGCAGCGAAATCTTAATTCGAAATTCTTGTGTCATAACTACTCTACCACATGTGTTCGACCCGCAAACTTGATACATAGAAGCAAATTGTCCGATCGATCAGTATCCCTGCGACTCATACCATGGGCGCGTCCACGTTGTCTCTCCTGTACCCACTTACGTTTGACCGAAAGGATTTGAAGAATCTTCGAAGATGGAATTAGACCTTCGGGACCGTTTTGAAGACGGACTTGCTTCATCATCCTAAATAGTGTACGTCAGTTTCCTAAGCTGATGATAAGCCAGTCGTCAACGAACCGTGGACTGGGTCTCGGCAGAAGTGGCCCTTGAATGCTTGCGCGTGCCCGTTGCTCCACTGGAGCCGAGGCCACCTGTTACCGTAATGCCGGCGTCAGCGGTGGGCGATGCGCCGCGCGTCACTGTCTGACCGGTCCTGCCTTCTGATACAACTGCCTGATTAAGACTGACATCCACCATGTCCACTGAGCCAGACACAGGACGGTCTTTGGGTGTAGCAGATAACCCCTGTACTGCAACCAAAAGGACAGAGAGCGCTCTCTTCGTGGCGACGTCACCATTTTTTGGCTGAGTTTCAATGAGATTTTCGATTGCCTTGACATCTCGAAAGTCGTCGATGTCAATGCCACATTGGTCCTGAAGGTGGGAACGGATGTTGGACAGTAAGCGCGGCGCCTGAGTGTCCCAATGACCGGAAGGAGCATTCGGCTTATCAGAATTTAAGTCTGCCCTCGCCTTGCCCTTCCCTTTCGTGGTGGGCGCGGCGTTGCTGACAGCGATTCGGCCTGATTTACCTTGTTTTTGTGGTCGAGCCTCTTCGTCCTTGTTGCCTGGAGTAAGACTTGTCGCCGCTTGCCCGCTGAGAAATTTGGCGATTTTGACTGCAACATCAGGTGGCGCTGTAATGGGATCCGGGCCCATGTAATCGACGTTCGCGCCGGTGGAATCAAAGGTCGACGCAGCCTGGTTGTCTTTCCATTGCTCCCAGTTGACTGTGGGAGACAGAAGCATGATCAGGATTAGAGAAAAGTGGACGTGGGCACAAGAAGGGAGTACGTGCGATGATTGAAAATATCCGGCGTCTGGCCACTGCTAACATATTTGAAATCCACCTTATGCTTCTTAAGTAACTCCTGGCGCGCATTCTCGTCAAACCGTTCCACAGTCACTTGTAACCACAGATGATACTCTAATGTCGGACAACGCCAGGATGGGTCACCCACACTCTTCGCTTTTGCTTGCTTTACAAACGCCGACCGGACGTCATCGAGATACTTCAAATGGCGATACAGGAACGTAACGCCAGGTTCATTGTCGACTTTCGGGTCCTTCTCCAGAATTGTCAAGGCATGCTTGAGGACCTCACATTCGTAGCTGACCATATGGAGGACGCGTAGATACTTGTTCGGTACCTGGACGATGAGCTTGGATGATGGAGTGTTCACCAAGACTAGGGTTGAGGCTGCCGCGTCGACGTAGCTCCGTTTGCGTCTCAAGCGCTGCCTAGTACTTGGAGCGATTTTGGACGTAGACCAAGGAATAGGGGAAGCCATGGAAGCGCCGGTTAGATGTGGTTGTGGTTGAAGGTGCGATGAGGCGGCAGGCTTGATGACGACAGCTTTAAGCGAAAACTTCTCGCTCGGCATCTGTAGTCCAAGAATGGGCGGGCGGAGTGCGAAAGGCTTCGCATGAGTTTAGGGCAGCCCCTCCTACTTGTCTCTAGTGTTGCCGCGGTTCATGAAACTAGCCCGAACCGCCTCCTTGAAGTACCCTGTCGTGAAGACGACCAAGGCCCCTATTCTTTTCTTTCTTTTCTCTTTCATTCCCTCTCTCCTTTCCACACTTAGAGCCAGGTTCGTGCACCTCTGGTCGTCTCCGTGTACCTCCGGTCATCTCCGTACACCTTCGGACACCTCCGGGCCCTCCGAAGATTTCGGAGCCTGCTCCACGCCTGGAGTTGCTTCGGACCTCTTATGTTTCTCTTCGAGCATTACTCCCGACAACATTCGGACCTTGTGCAGACCATGCAGACACTTGACAGCAGCTCTGTACTACCTCCGTGACAGCAGATGGTTATCAGTAGCAGGATCAGGATCCGGAGATCGCCCGAGTTGTTTATATACTGAGAGTCTCGCATCCTTGCCCCCCATCTCGACCTCTTGGTCATTGGGACTAGGTGCACATTCACATTGTAGTAGATAGGATGCTTTATTGACTTGGTCATTGGGACTAGTGCTTTCGTGCTTGCCGCCAGCACTCATTGAGATCCTCTACCACCTAGCCTTGTGGTTTCAGCCACTTGCATGCCTATGCTTCCATGCTCCTATGCTCTGCTCCGTTCCGCCTACCTCCGGCCTCCTCCAAAGTTTCGGAGCTGTTCAGGAGTTTAGAGTGTCGCCCCTGTTGTGTCCACAACATTAGGTCGAAATCTCCCATAGGCACCAGCTGAACCTGAGGCTCCTGCCTACCTACGCGCGCACACCACGACGCCTCCGACGTTCTCCGCCGGCTACGAGTCTGAAGACTCCTCGCATGACTCCTCACACAAGGTACACCACGATCCCTTCAAATGGCTTGACGACGACCTCGCCGGATCTGCTACACCTCACGCAGGAAGAGTCGGACGCCCGCTGCAACCGCTCTCTGACGAGTTCACGCAATTGTTTGCCAACGCCTCGCTCCGCTCCGACTCGGAGGTATTAACTCCGAACCCCGAAGCTACCTCCGACGCAACCTCCGAGTCCTCCACCGTCCCCGTAGCCCCCGAACCAACCCCCAAAACCTCGACAACCATGGAGGCCTTAATGCGCGCACTTGCTCTCCGGTTGGAATCTATTGGCACTGGTACTGTTGAAGGTGATCCTTCTTAACAGAGATCACGTAAATCACGTAACAAAGCCCTTAGCCTCGTTGGGTTGGGTTCACGAGACTCCCCTGCTCGGCACGCTCGTGACAATGGGCTTGGTTCCGGCCAGTTCGCCAAATGCGGCAACACTACTTGGGGTGACCTTGAGGTAGTGTTGCCGCAAGGTAAGGTGAAGGTGAGCTTAAGGTCCAGATTTGGGTACTATAAGCAGCTTAAGCTGACCTCAAGCTAACCTTGGGACCTCTTGAGACGAGTCAAGGTCGCATCAAGGTGTTGACCTAATTAGGGAGAACCCTTGGTTATCGGCGCGGACACCTCTGAGTAAGCAGGCATAGTCCCTATTGGGGTTTGGTGGGGTTTAGCTATTGATATTTATGCGCTACAAACAGCGCCAACACGGCCTCATAGTCCAGCGGGTAACACCGCTACCCATCTTGACTCTTGACGCGTTCGATTCCCCCTGGTACCGGCAAGTTCTAACAACATCTGCATAAAATAAAGCTGCGAATCTTCTCTACGAGCCTCCTCCTAATACATAAATCATTTTTTGACCTGCGAAGCATGGTGAATTAACGGTCCCCTGCATGCAGTACTTGGTACATTAGTAGCAGCGATGAACAGTTCATGATCATAGGGGGTTTGCCCAAGAGAGGAAGGTACTGATGCGGCAACACTCGGACATTGCCTGGATCACCTCAAGGTCATCTCAAGGTTCCGCATTTGGTATATCTGTCAACTTAAGGTCACCTTGACCTTGAATATTCCTCAAGGTACCTCACCTTGCGGCAACACTACCTTGAGGTGATCCAGGCAACGTCAGAACTTTCTCAGCCGCATTATAATGAACCCTACATCGGAAAGTTATTTTGGTCCTGAGAACGTTCTGCCAAATAGGGCGCGTCAATTCTTGATTCTACTTCCTACTTCCTACTTTCTACTTGGACCTCGGCTACCGAGTCAATAGAACAGACCCTGACGTGTGAACGCAAATGCTATCGTGAGGCGACGGCTGCACAGCTACCAAAGAGAGCGCACCTCCAAGCCCAGCATCTCCACCCCTGATTCAACCTCTCCTCCTGTTACAGCGAGTTTCAGATTGATAGGCCCGTTTCCACTACAGTGGAGCTAGGACTTTTGTTTACATTCGGAGTGGTGGCAATGACCCTTGTTGCCCTTTTTCAGATAACCTCCCGCGAGCGTTCACACACCTCGCTCTTCTCAGACTCCAAACCAGTTGGTCAGACGGGATGATGCAGCACCGGAGTTGCCTTTTTTGGAACTTGTTCCAAGGTCACTCGTCTGACCGACTGGCAACACTTGCCCATTTCAGATTTCCCCACCCGCCCAAAAGCGGCGATTTGCCCCGCCAAAAGAGCACTTTACGACTGATTTCTCGATGAGGAGACTGAAATCGGCGGTCCGGTCATACCGGTGGTAAACGACAACTCTCACGATACACCTGTCTACCTTCGTATCCAGGAATAGCTGATGGGAAAAACAAGTTGCGCCAGTCGGTCCGGCGAGAGAACTGCTTAATGAAGTTATAAAAGGCAGGAGCGCTTAATAAGCCGGTCTCACGAGTTGGACCGCTGGGTAGGATTCTGAATATAAGTGCACTAGGATTGATGCGACACTAGTACACGACCAATCATCTGGGTAGGAGATTGCAGATCTCCCTGCTTTTCTCGTCCCCTCATAATGACGCTCAACACTAACTCCATCCCTTTCGATGCGGTGTCACTTACACGGTCCTCCATCCTCTCTCTGGGTGTGAAGGCAAGCTACGTATCGGACCGTCATACAATCCCGGAGGCAGTGCTGGTCAAACAGAAGGAAGAGGTGCACCGGGTGCCCGTGTCTGCATTCTATGCGAGAGCATTTCATGCATTCAGCTACAAGTTTGAACTCCTCAAATTCACCATTGCCAAGCTACCGTCAACCTCACACGAAGCGAAGCCTATTGCATTCAGGCTGCTTCAGACCCTTTGGTACATGGATAGAGTGCGCGATAGCTTCTTCGAGGAAATGTCGGACTCAGGCTCCGGCCGGTCGCCTGCATTTGACTATTACCTGTGGTTGGATTGGCTGTGCAAAGTGCACTCTTGGTCGGAATGGTCTTCTAGCGAACATGACGATGGCATCAGAAGGAAGGCTGAGCAGCAATGCGGTGTCACGTTCCAGTCCGTCACATCCGGAGTGAAGAGGATCGAGGACGTAGGTGAGGCT